GCGTGCTCCCACCCTTTCCAACCGCAGCCATGGGAGGGGGGGGGGGGGGGTACCCCCTGTGAGGGTGGATTTGCTAATTGATTAATGGCCCAGGGAACAAAGAAGGAGAGAAAGTAATCATGTTTTCCCAGGTCCCATGACAGCAGCTCTCCTCCCTCACCCTTAATGATAAAAAAACATAGCCCAGCATGCCGGCATCGCTGCAAGGACTGAAGCTGACACCTGGGAAAAGGGGAAAGGGCTGAAATCCCACCGGTTTCAGAAGTAAAACATCCCAGCGTGATTTGTGTCCTGGAAATAGTCGGGATGCATTGGTGGGTACAGACCCCAGGGTGGTGGGGGTGGGAGAGTGTCCTGTGCAAAAAGGTGGTTAGATGTCCTCAGGCCAAGGGAGGTAGGAGGGAAGGGGTGGGAGAAGACGTACTTGGAAAATTGGAGGCTGGAAAGCCAGATTTACCATGCTTGGGATTTGTTGTGGTGGGATTTATAACTCTTAAAAAATAGAGGTATGATTTCTGTCTCTGTCCCACGGAAACCCAACTGATGGAGGAGAGCTCTTTAGCAGCAAGGCTTATAAATTAGCCGTGAAAGACTTTGGGCTGGCAATTAGTAGGAAGGACCTAATTTCTGAGAGTGGCACTACAAAACCGGATCCGGGTGGCGCGTTGGGTTGTCCACGTGGGTGTTCAAACCCTGAGCATGCAGCATCGTCCAGCCCTGGCCTCCGATGCTCCTCCCGAATCGGGAGCGGGGACCGCAGCTGCAGCAGGTCGCTGGGGACTGTGGTCCAGGCGAGTCAGAACATCCCCGGGGATGGCGATCCCCCCACTGCTTGCACAGAGAAGGGCTGTTTCCTTGCGATCAGCTGGGCTTTCTTCAAAGGTCGCAGCGTGTGGAAGCACCGGGCACGGATGAAGGCCAGACCATCGTTAACACATGCCCTGAGAGCACGTCGACCGATTCATCTGGCACTTTTCATGAAATGCGTGGAAGTCTCCAACACTGGATTTCACGGTGGCTGTGATTAATACCTTGCTCAACCTTGAACACTCTTGCTTCCTTATTCCTAGCAGATTGCGTGAGCATATCCTGGAGTATGCCAACGTCTAGACGTGCTGGTCTAGAGCCTAAAAAAATTTGCAGGATGCCTTACGAGAAAGGCCCAGAAGAGCTCGCCTGGTTTTATCTAATAAGGCAGAAGCCAAAGAGGGATATTGCTCCTGCTGCAAATGCATCAGCTGGGAGGATGCTCTATTCCCATCCATCCCCCCACCCCACCGCTTCTGCTCGCTGCTCTGCGTGAAACCATCACCTGGAGTGAGATGTTACTGCAAATTACTCCTCCCCGGAGGAGAGGTATGGAGATTTTAGGAAATTTTTTGCATTTAAGGCTCTGCGTGCAAATGCATTCAAAGCACCAGCCACCGAGACACCCAGCCCATAGGGAAGTGCAGGGTGAAATAATGCAATCTGGGGCGGGGGAGGCAGAGAAAAGAACCCCAGGCTCTTACACTGCTCATCTATCTAGGTCGTGGCTGGGGACAGACTGGAAACCGCAGCCGCTATGGAAACCTGCCGAGGTTCGCCTGGCTGCAGTCCAGCTGCTTTCCCGGCACGGAGAGGAGACGCTCTCGCTCCGACACCCGGGCAGCCGCCCTGTCGGGAAGTGGGTCACTGCAGCGCCAGTGTATTCGATAGAGAAGAGAAAAAAAAAAAAAGAAAAAAAAGATGAAATCTGGGGTGGTGAATATTAGAGATATCTGCATAGCACAGCCGTCCCTTTCCACGCCCAGCTCTGTGACGGCCTTCGGGTACATGAGGATGGGCTTGAGCCCGGGTAAAAGGGCTGACAGAGGCTCACAGAGCACCCTGCAAATTTGCACTGATCCAAGTGATGCAATTTCATCCCTCAAACCCCTGATGAAACCAGGATACAGCAAAAGCAAAATATAAGGCGCCAAATTTGCAGTATGCCGGAGCTTTCCTCTATAAGGCACGTGAGGATGCAAAACCAGTTTGGATTTTAATTGGATTTTTTTTGAGCGACCGCTTTTTCCTTCTTAAGCAGCCTGGGAAAAGTGTCCGACTCGTTTTTGCACAGCAGTGTGCTAATCCTGCCCTGTGCCGTGACGAACCCCAGCCCCGGAGGAGTCGACAGGCACAGAAACCACAAGCATCAACGGGGTTTTGCTGCTGCCCTCAGCACGTACAAAACAAAACAATAACCGGGCTCTGTTTGCTGCAGAAAACACTCGTTTTGCAATTAGAGCAAGCTGTTGCATTGCACAGTCCATGTCCCAGCCCCTGCACATTGGGTAGTAATTAAAACACTGAACAACCTAGGGGCATGACACACACACACACAAAAAAAAAATCAGAAGGGTCTCACAAACCTCAGCAAAAAATGCTCCTACATCTGGCATTACGGATATGTCTCTATTTCCAAATATTTAAGGCATGGTCTCCGGAGCTCAGTGTGGCAGAACCTGAGTGACAGAAGGCTGAGACGCTGCGAAGACCTGGGATCATGCCCCATTTTCAGCACTGAGAATAATCCATCTGTTTAAATTTAAGCACATGCTGAAGTTGTCCAGGATATGAACATATAGGAGCACAGAACAAGTAACGCCCGAAGGCAAAGTGGCCAACCTCAAACCTTAGTTCTTCCCTCAATGAACCCCCAAAAGCGGCATGTGCTAATAAAATATTTTGGTGTTATTGGAAAAAAAAAAATTTCTGTTATTTCCCCAGCATTGTGGCATGCTCAGAAAATCCGCCAGAGTCAGATACGTTGCACTTCTTTACCTGCGTTTCTTTGTGCGTGATGTTCGTGTTATGTGCACCGAGAGATCTGCTGCGCAGGGGGATTGTTTAGGGTCTTCTCCCCAAAATTAGCATTAACTCAGGGTGCAACCGCAGCAATCCATCCTCCTTCCACCTGTCTGTGTCCCCACCTTGGATCCTCCAGATTTCCCTTCCCATTCAGATTCAGATTGCAGCTTTACGGTATTTTCAGCCCAAATCCAAAACTTTAAAATAATAATAATAAAAAAAATTAAATTAGATGTGACCTAAAACTACAGCTTTGAACCAAAACACCTGAACCCAAGGTTGTCCAACTGTGAACCTAGATACAGATCTGAAGTTCTCCCATGTTCTTGATGATTAAAAATAGGTCAAATCTGGACCTATGGCTCATG